ACTATTAATGGCCTTGGCTTGTAGCGAATTGATGTAGCTTCGTGCTCTCCTTGATGACATTAGTCTTTTTTATCCCTCTCTATGTAGATAATATTAGTGCAATAAAGATTGCTTCAAATCCAATATCCCATGAAGAACAAAACATATTGAGGTTGATTGCTACTTCATAGGGGTCAATAACTTAGGAGCCATATTAGCTGTCCTCATGTGTCGTTTGGTCTTCAGTTAGTAGATTTCTTTACTAAAGCTTTGATACGTGCTTAATTTCTTACTTTCTTAGTGACAAACTATGCTTATTTCTGGGCATCAATTAAGGGGGTGTAGAGATATGGGGTTATGAGACCATGTTTGCATTCTACATTGTTTGTACCTTATCTTATTGTATTTTCTCTTTTTTCCTTTTTATTGTTTATCTACCTGGGTGAATCAAACACACCCAATTCAATTCTATGTCATTTGAACTGCTCTAACAATAGGTTCCACTTTCGATTTCAAGTATTGCAACCAGGCTGCTCTTGAGAATTTTAGTTAATAATAACTACTTTCGGTATTTTTTTTAAATGGCAAATCGATTGGAGGGATAATAGAGTAATTTTGCAAAAAAAAATTGTTCATGTACTAGAGGTTTCTACAAGTCGATGTATGTTTAAGAGAAATGGAGAAAGGTGAAGGGGAGTTTTAGATAATAACCCTAAAATACTGGTGTAAATTATTTGACTTTAACATGGAACTGCCAACTCTTTAAAACTTAGGGTTCAACTATAATGTTGGAAAGTCATGATACCAAAAAAACTTGATCAATCAATCGATATCACAAAGTGATAACCAATTAGGTGGGTTTTCATCAAAATTCATGAGGGTTTTGATTAATCAAAGCCTTTTTGCATCATGTCTTTACAACATCATAGATTTTCCCTAAAACTTATTCACTAAAATACAAAGCAATAAATTTTTGTTGTCTCAAAGGGGAAGGACATAGAAACTCCCTTGGAAGATCTTAAGATTGAAAGAGTAAAAGCCCTCATTTTGAGAGAACCATATTTTAAAGTTTGAACTTAGAACACCAATTGCCAATTAGGGCAAGAACTGTAAGGGTTAAATCTTTGAAATTCTTCTGACCGAAAGGTTAATATGGTTTTCTCATATCTTCGTTTGTCAAAACTCTAATAAGTCCTCTCATCCGATCAAAGGAAAAAGATGTTCTAGAAGAAATTTCGAACCCACCTTTGTAGACCATCATAATTAGTAGTCTTTTTTTTTTTAAGCCTGATAAGGCAGACTATTATAATAGTCTATAAACGCTTTATTTTACTAAATTGATAATTTGATATAGGCACTAAAACTAGTAAGTCATGAGTAGATAGTCAAAACCCATGTAATCTCCAATGTTTTCTAGGGAAACAAACAGTGATTTTAGGACAATATAATCATGTTTTTCCTCTTCCTTGGCCAAATAAAATGAATTGATCAAAGGTGAAAAATTCAGAAACTATGAAAAAAATTTTGGTGGGCATGATATGTTTGCGCTTGTTATTTTATTGGAATACGGTCGAAGTCTACTACGGAGGATTTACTTATTGTCTCAAGAATTAGAACACCAAGCAACAACCACCATTGATGATATCTCTAGATAGTCTCTAACCTAAGTATTTTCCAGGGTTCAGAGAATTGAAAATGCATGCAAAAAATAATGGAAAGGTAATATGGTTGAAAATCCATATAAATTCCAAAAAAAATACATCAATAACATTAGATTTGAGGTTCAATTGATTAGGGGTGCAAATGGATTGGATTCTGATCAGATATGAGTCAAGATCCGATCCTATTTTGTTCAACTTGGATCTCCCCTGTTCAGATCTTCAGATTGGATCAAATCAGAAAATAGGATCTGATCAAAAATCAGATTGGATTTGAATCACCCCCTATCCGATTCAAGAAGACCCGATCTGATATATATATATATATACTATTTATTTATTAATAAATATATTATTTATATTGCATTTTTACAAATTTATTATATTAATTACTTTTTTATAAAAAGCATATATATATATATATGATGAAAAGAGTTGAAAATTTTTGTTATTGTTTGTAATAACAATAGAATTTCTTGAACTATTGTTATTGTTTGTAATAATATATAAGTTTTTGCTACAGAGAGAGCACGCAGAAAATTTTTGCACCAAAATTTATTTTTACTAAAACATGATCCATATCCTGCACCCATTAGGCTTAAAAAAAATCCTGCACTATTTCTCTCATTCAATATTTCTTATATTAGTTCACACAAAAATTTCTAAAGAAATATGAATTTATAAAATATTTTTAAGGGTTTTTTTCTTCTTTTTTTTTTTTTTTCTTTTGCTTCATGGGAGACAATGGGGTAGGCCATCCAGGCCATCCCCCGAACTCATAACCCACCCAATCCTGGTGGTAGCTAGATTTGGTCCCAGGTCTCTCTACAAACAGTCAGAGAGAACCTTCAAACTGAGTCACCATTAATTGGTTTTCTTTTCAGAGTATTGATGATTGTGTTCCTTGATGTGAAATTTATTATTATTTAGCAAAAACCAATGTTGTTTTTCGTTTATATATGATTATTGTAAGAATGCAACTGCAAATATGTTGGATGTATGAAAATGCAAATTTGGTTTGGTTTTGCATTGATAAATTTTGTATTCTACTTGATTGTAATGGATATAAATACAAATTTCAAGATTGGAATTTACTTCTCTTTTTTTTTTTAATTTGAGTGCAAATTTAAATGCAAAAACGTTAAAAAAAGTTTACTTTCATTTTCAGCACAAAATAAGTATTCTTACCAATGGCCCATAAAACTGAACCGAAGTACAAATTTGCTTCCATTAACATTTGACTCTTAGGCTCAGTTTGGAAGGAATACAAATACAAATATATAGAGTACAAAACCTTGTATTTTTGTATTATTTTGTATGTATTTGCACTCCTTCCAAACTGAGCATTAAGAGTACGAATGCAAATATGTACAGCATAAATACATACAAAATAATATAAAATATAGGCTGTGTTTGGAAACAACGCAAATATGTGTAAATGCAAATATTTAGGGTATAAAACAGTTCATATAAATTGTAAAATTGGGTTAATTTTGTATTGACAAATTTACCTTCTTACCAAGCAGACTTTTAGCTATAATGGATGCAAACACGAATTCTAATAAAACATAATTTTTTTTTTATCAAAAGCCCACTTGAATGCAAATTTACTTCTTTTTTATTGATGTACTTTTACATCTTATTATCAATGTAAATATGCATTGGTCTGTCATTTGTCAATGCAAAAATGTAATATTGCCAAACACAATCATCCTGAACCAGGATCTACACTCCATTTGCATCATTTCCAAACGCAGCCATAAGATTTTACACTCTACATATTTGCATTTGTACTCCATCCAAACTCAGCCTTACCAAATGGGGAATTCTGTTTAATTGAAAAAGGTGGGAGAACCCTAAAAGGAGTAAAAATTCAATTAAAATATTATAAAGGATTCTACTAGGGTGTGAAAATATAATAGTAAAGGCAAACCTCATCCTCTCAATTGATGAGAGCTAAGTTAATAGAGTGAGAATAAGCATGCCAATTCACATGGTGGGAATGTGGCTCATAATTGTTCTCACATCATACAAAAAAAGACATTTTTACACACAATAGCATTATGCTTAATTTAGGATGAAAAATTTTCACCTTTTTCACAAGGAAAAGTAGAAAAATAATTGTAATCCAAAAGAATCTTATAGTGGACCCCATCCACTTTCCTCTTTCAAGAATTAATTGAGAAGGCTTTGAATATCTCTTCTATTCACACACACATTAGTTTTCTAGGGAAAGCCGGAAAGCAAAGGGAGCCTAAAGTCTACCATTCATTTATATCATTCAGTCGACATTCGTATGTGCTTGCATTCCTCGTCAGCTGGTTTGGGTTTATATATTCCCTTGTTTTAAAGGTGAGGTGACACCTCACTCGATGCTTCTCCCCCCTGGAATACCCTATTTCTTCTCTCACGTCGATTGTCGTTACCTTGTTTCATTCCCACCACCAATAGAAGAATAAGGGAAATTTTGAAATGTTTTTGAACCGCGATTGATTCAGACGGCCGGACCATTCGACTCAGGAATTTTTAAGGCAATTGGTTTCATTTTACCCAAAACCTGGTTTCTAGCCAAAAAATGTTGAATTGGTCAATGATCTATTGATCTGGGTAATCAAATCGTCAATCTGTTCGATGGTTTATAGCTGTTTTTTATTTAAATTATATTTTTTAATTTTATTGTTAGAATGGGCCATCCATTTGAATCGGATGGTCAAACTGATGGCCAGAACGGCTTCAGTTCTGGGTTGCTTTTTAAAACATTGAAATCTTGTATTACAGTTCCTCTGTTATCCTTTTCACATGACATGGTTTGATACGTGGTTTTAAAAAACGAGCCGGAAATGGAATTATTCTGGCCACCGGTTTTTGGTTCAATGGTTTGCCCATCCAGTTCGAATGGACGGCCTGTTTTGACAAAAATTTAAAAAAAAATAAAAAAATAATTAAAAACAAAAAATGGCCAAAAATTATTGAATGAATCAACCAGTCAATGGATCATTGACTGATTCAACAGTTTTTGGTTAGGAACCGAATTTGAGATAAAACGGAACCGATTGCTTAAACGGTTTCCAGGCCGAACGGTCCGACCGTCCGGGAGAGCAACGGTTTGAAAACCATGGTTTGACAAAAGAAGCAAAACCAAACTATCTCTTCCGCTGAGTCAAGTTCAGACCGTCAAACGCTTACATAAGATACAAGGGACGTGAAGACCGACGACTATACCCATGACCAGCAATTGTCGTTTAAGCTGACCAGAAACTCTGTTTCTGTTCCTGTTTTTTGACCTTTTTAATAGTTTGTACACTTTTAACGCTTAACAATTATTTCTTATTCATCTTGTTCTCGGAAAGGAAGTTTTTTTCAAGTGGGAGTCTTTGACACGGGTCTTTTGGTGAGTTATGAAGAAGAATTCGAGATTAATAATTTGCTTGTAAATCAGTTGAGGTCTTTAGCCTCCACTTGATTGCGTATATGTTCTTTGAACTGGGTTCTAGAAAAGTGGCTGTTTTGATTATTTGAGAAGATGAGATTTCAGAAATACAGAAAGGAGGACTTTTCTTTAGCCTCAGTTGGAATTTCTCAGTTTCTAGACATGGGTTTTGTTTATTTAAACCTGGAGATTGGAAATTTGAGTTTTTAGTCTTGCAGAGATGGGATTTGAGTAATAATAGAAACTGAATATGATCGAACATTTAGAGTCTGAGTTTGATCAATTTTCACTGTAACGAGACATAGGTCTTGAGATGTTAGACATGGGTTCTACGAATTCTGTAGGTTTCAAGTCATTATAAAGCTATAGAGATTGGGAAGAGCTGAGCTTTAAATCGAAGCTTGAGGGTTTCTCTGTGTTCTGGAAGTAGGAGCTTCTGCATCAGACTTGAGGATTTTGAACTCTGGTAAGTTTACATGAATTGTAATCGTCTACCTTTGGCTCTTGCCTTGAAGTTCAAATTATATAAACACAAAATTATATATTCATTTGGTTTGTTTTCTTCTCTACAATACCGTAGATAAATTTAAATTTCCTGCTTTATGCGGAAGGGAACCATTCAATAAGTGCTTATTGACCAAGTACTTAAAAACAAGTGCTTATTATAACCTCTTATGAGTATTTGGTGAAAAAACACTTATTTTCAATAGGGATAGTATAGGTATTTTTAAAATGATGTGGTGGGCCAAGATAGGTAGAAGGGAAATAAGTACTTATTGAATAAACATTTAAAAATAAGCTCAAAATGTGAACTTCTCAAATAAGTGCTTATTCTCAGAATAATTACTTATTTTGGGCATATTTCTCAAATGCAAATAAGGCTATGTTTGGTTACAGTGCAATTTTATTTGCACTAGTACAAAGGCACAGGAGTGCAAATGAAAAAAAAAAAAGCAAATTCTCATTTAATTTTATTTTTGGGTTTTACTTTATTCTGCTTCATGTCTTAATTTATTTCATTTGTACTGCAATCAAACAATATAAGTTAAAATTTGAAACAAAAAAAGGTCAGAATTTACATTCAAATCATTTGCATTGCCATAGTTTTGCATAAATGCAAATTTATTTGCATTGCAACCAAACACAGCCTAAGTGTTTATTGGTATAGTCCTGACTCAAAATCAGTGTTTATTCCAATAAGCACTTATTTTTAAGCATTCCCAAAATAAGCACTTATTTTTAAGCACTCCCAAACTTATTTGATCTCTCTCGACCTAGCAATATGGTAAAAGATCCCTCTCTATCATTTTCTAACTTGTTTGTAAGACTGCAAATAAGTCGGATCAGATCTGATACCGATCCGCTAAGAGGCAGATTCAGATATCCCTCTTGCTCCTAACAAATTGGATCGGATCAGAAAAGTTGAACATTAACTTAATGGATCGAATTCAGATATTAGCTGATCCGGTCCATTAATTATGAAATATTATATATTATTTACATATTATGTATATATATATATATATTCTATATATTATTTATATAATATAATATATTATTTATATTACATAATATAAATATAATTATATAATTATAATCGAATCAGATATCCGATAGTACATTCAAATTTGAATTCAAATCATGCTTTTAAAAATCCGACTGATCTTTATCAAATCAGTCGGATTTTCATAAAAATCGGATCGAATATACTCTTACCGAATCCCATCCGATCCGTTTGCAGCCCTACTTTTGATTTCTTCTATCTCTTCTTTGATGAATTATGGCACAGGGGTAATATGTTAAAAGACCTTCTTCTTATGGGCAATATGATAAAAGATCATGGAAATCTCTAATGTTCACCTGCTTTTGCTTTTTTGACATAATGAGAGGATTTTGAGTTTTGAAGATGGACTATACCAAATGTACAAGAGTTGTTGCATTCTTCGTGTTGACAATTCTAGCCACGAATTTTATGGAAATTAGGGCTTATGCCCCCGAAGAACCTCTATATGAGCGTCATTACACGGAGCGAGAAATAGGACTAAGGCATTGGTATAGTTCTGAAGCAGGTAAATTTACAAGAAATTATTTTTGCCATAATATATGAGCTGTGTCTTATATTTTCATAAATTTACTAAATGTCATTATTACTTGTGAAATATCAATCAATTGAAGCATTAATCACATAAGTTTTTTTTTTTTTTTTTTTTTTTATATTTAGGGTCATTTACTAAAACACTCCCTATAATTTCTTGAATTTACTAAAACCTAGTAACTTACCTTATAGTTTATGTTTTACTAAAACATCCCTTATAGTTTGCAATCAATTTACTTAACCCACTTATCATTAGTTGAAAGTGGAAAATGACAGTTTTAATCCTAACATCCATTCAAATAAATTTAATAAAAAGAAAATAAAAACAAAAATGCCATCTTTTCTCCTAGTAAACAACCATGGATCCGTATCCTTGAACATTTTCCACTCAGTTTAAGAATATTTTTAGAATAAACAACCATGGGTGAACACTTTTCTACTTAGTTTAGATTATCATGTTACCGTGTTCAAATGGCAAAACAAATATAAGATCACTAAGTAAATAGGTTGTAATTTGTAAACTATAAAGGGTGTTTTAGTAAAATGCAAATTATATGATAGGTTTAAGTAAATTTGTGAAACTATAAGGGGTATTCTAGTAAATGACTCTTTTATTTATTATTTTGTATTTGTAGTTATTTCTTTCATTAATAACAAAAATTTTCATTTATCATACTTGTTCAGCTTATTCAACTATGTTAGTAGAAAGGTATGATACCAAAAAAACTTAAAACCAATCAATTGGCATCACAAAAGTGCTAACCAATTAGGAGGTATTCATGAAAATTCAAACTTTTGCCTTTCTACTATAGTAGAATTTTCAATGAATATAAACATGTCCAGTTTGATTTACTTTTTAATTTCTTATAATTTTATTTATTTTTATTTTTTGTTTAATTTATGACATCACAGGTTGATGGATTTAACCGGATTGTAGAACTGCTGAATCGGCTTTTAAAACACATGCCTATCCCTTTGTCAAATTCATGACCCAAATTAAGGGGGTGTTTCACAAAGTTGGTTTTGTTTTTGAAAATAACAACTGCCATGTCAGCAACAAAATATTCTTGATGTGTTGAATGATGTACTTGTATAGTTGTATTGTCTATGAATCTAAACAGTATATACCCTTAACATGGCTCTTGCCTGTATGCAACTGCTTTGTTCAACTTTTCTAGGGTAGCATAATAAATAGCCATAGAGTTAGGATTAAGGCCTTGTTCGTGTCTCGGTAAGTCATTTATCCGGGTAAATGTTTCTTTAAAAACACTTATCCAGTTAAGTGAATTGATCAATATTCTATAGGTGAAATTGTACAATAATTGTTCTATTCAAAAAAGTGACATTATCGAAGGGATAATATTATTAACAATTTTCAGCACTGATGGTTAAGTGATTTATCCAAATCTCAGAAAGGTATTACTTGCCTCAGGTAAACGAGCCACTGGGGAATTCTTTTTTTTTTTTTTTGCGATACCCATTGATACCAAAATACATATATGGATTTATTTATTTTCTGTAGGACCCACACCTAAGGGACATTTAATGGGCCATGTATATGGCTAAGGGACCATGGGCTCTAAAAAATGGGCTATTTGGATTAAAAAATTTGATTCTCCTATTGCTTGGCATCAAAACTAAAAATAGCCATACCCATCCGAGTCCAACCTTAAACACATTTTTCAACCCCTAATAAGGATGTCAACTTAGTCGGGTTCAGCACGGATCTGTCTCAACCCGAATCAGAACCCAACTCAACTAAATAGGTCCAGTCCATCGTAACCACAGGAATACCTCAGCCTAAACCCTACCCGAAACCCGATCAAGCCCAACCTGACCCTAACCCGTTTACTTCACCTGAACCGAGTTGGCAAACTTGGCAGAACTCACCGAATTACTTAGATTGTTGTGAATTGTGATAACTGGATAAGGCTTGGCATAATTGAAAATACTTTTTCAGTTTATTGAATTGATTTGCAAATCTCCTCTTCCCAACACAAGGAGATAACTGAAGGAAGATAGCTAATAAATGAATCACTTTATAGGCAGGAAGTTGCTTCAAAGTGAGATTGGATCAGCACCCAAGAGACAGAGGGATGATGGTACAGTGAGGGTGGACCCCTTGGATCACTTCAAGAAATATAGAGGCGGCTATGACATAACTAATAAGCATTACTGGAGTGTAAGACTCTACTTCTTCTTTTGCACTGTATCCATAAGAGGGCTCAATGGATCCGGACCATCCGATCCATGTCAGGCTCATGCTTACCCATGACCTAGTCCAAATTGACTGAATTGAATTGCTTATTGGTTTATGTGTACTAATTAGGGGTGGCAATGGGTCGAGCTTCTCATGAGCTATTTAAGTTCAGCTCGTGAAAATGGCATGCCATAAAGCCATTAAGAAGTTTGCACCCTGGTTGGTAAGGTCTCCTGCTGGTTGTAACAGAGATTTGGGATTGAATCCCATCTGTACAAGGGTTAGGGGCATAGGATTATGGGTTTGGGGATAGGCCACCCCACGTTGTGTTACCCCATAGAGCAAAAAACAAAAAAAAAACAAGAAAAAGAAAAAGAAAAAAATTGGATTTACTTGCTTCCCTTCTCTAAATTTCAAAATTCATATATTCATCTGCTTATCAGGTTCCAACCAACCAGGTCCAAACTTAGACCTGATTTCTAACGCATCTAAGATTTATTGACTGAACTGGACCTGATTATGATGGAACCAGACCCTACTAATCAGAGTATAATGGGTCCTGTCTTTGGGTATATATGGACATGCCCATATCCCACCCATTGACATTTCAAATGATTAGAACCCAAATTGGGTTTAAACCCAATCTCAGTATGATCACTTCATTGACTACTCTACCTGAAATCAAACTAAAATCTGTTCCTTTTACATGAAAAACAAAGTAAATTATTACCCATCATCATCATCATGTATTTGCTTATTTTAAAGGGGGGAAGGAAACAAGAAGAACTGACTGAACTTTTTATTCTCCATTTTGTTGCTTTCTATAGTCAACTGTATTTACAGGAGTATATGGATATGCCATTGGGATAATATGGTTTTTGTGTGGCATGATTTATGGTGGGTTTTTACTCGCAACCAATCTATGCTGCACAAAGAAGAGAAAGCTCAAGAGAAGACAAGCCTGCTCTAAACAGTGTTATCTCTGGCCTATTCTCTTGGGGACTATCTTCACATTTCTAGCCATGTGAGTCCCTGCAGTCTGTGCTCAATAAAGAACAATGCTTAAAGTAATTCTGATCATCATCTAACAAAGTGCAAACCCTGACACACCCCATATCTCTGCAGAATAGCATCTGGAGTTGTTCTTGGTGGGACCTCAAGATTCCATTCGAGGGCGAAAACAGTGATAAATATCATCATGGACACAGCAGATGAGGCATCCAGGACCCTATACAACACAACAGAGGCAATGAGAGACATCCGCGACAACTTAAAATCATCTGAAGAAGTTAGAAAGGCTTCTGGCTTCCTTAATTCTACATCCCGGAGGCTTGACTATCAAGCTGCAGACATAGAAAGGCAGGCTAGAAAGAACAGGCGTTTGATCAACAGGGGTTTAAAGATAGTGTAATTCTCATTTCCTCTTCCTATTTAAGCACACAGTTCAATCAGGGATACTGTTCACAAGGAAGATGCTTGCAGTTCCCATACTAACATGCTTTTCTGTTTGCAGGTATGCAACAACAACTGTGGCTATTTCATTAAACCTGGTTGCTGTTGTTGCACTGTCAGGTAATTAACTACCTTATAATGCTTTAATAGGTTAACCTAAAATTTCAGCTTAATCAATCCAAAATTCCAAATTTAATCCATTCTAAAATTTATCCTATTGCAGTCTCTGTATATCTGAAGTTGCCCCGAGCATTTCACCTGTAAGTAACTTCATTTCAATCCACTTAAAATGTCAACATATCCGGTCATCATCATCATCATCATGTGTAGATAAGAATGGGACTTATTGTGTAGTGGGTCACAATTCCCCACATGCTCTTTGCATATAAAAATGGTTCCCCCATGATGATATTGTTATTGTTCAGTACTGTAAATTTGATTCTTTTACTTGAATGACTGGATTATCCTGCATGAGAACTCAAGGCATGAGTTTGAAGCTGTCTCAAGGACACCTTTTTCTGTTTCAGGCTTATTATAGTATGCTGGATATTGACAGTTCTGTGTTGGGTGGGCTTTGGGATTTATTTCTTTCTAGAAAGGTAAAGCTTATTCTTCTTGTTCTACAGTTTCACATCTTATCAAGAATCCATTACTTCTCTAGGATTGTGCATAAGGAAGCGATAGAATCAATTAAGAACTTAATAAATGCAGAAAAATGTATAAGAGTGAAAATCTCCTAAGAATGGAAGATATTTGATTTGCAGGTTCACTGGCGACACATGCACAGCTTTTGAAGATTTCCAACAAGATCCAAGCAACAGCACCTTGGGCTCAATCCTTCCATGTGATGAACTAGTTTCAGCAAAATCAGTCCTACAAGATGTCAGCAAAGGAATCTATAATTTGGTGAATCAGGTAAAGGAATTTGTAGATTTTAGTACATAACTTGATGTTCTTCTGTCTTTAAGTTGCCAAATGGATCTCTTCATTTATTCTGCTAGTCTTCTTCTGTGCAGTCTTTCCAAATAAATAGTAGTAACTTTCTGAACTAAAATCAAATTGCTAATTATTGAAATTTATTGAAGATTGACATAAATAGACAGACAATATAGAAAGACACATTAAGTTGGTCATTAGTGATTACAAATCATTAATCTCAAAGTGAAACATGAGGGAAAATAAGAGCAAGTTGATTGTGGAAATATGATACTACGTGATGGAGCATGTTCAAACTGACCTATCCCTTGGGAAAGTCAGGGGATTGAGTAAATAAGACCACCAAAAAGAGAAAATAAAGAAAGAAATAAAGAAAAAAAAGAGAGAAATATTTATTGGCAAATCAACTAAACTTAAAAGATAAAAGTTGTTGCTGTGTGGAAAACTAAGGAATAGAAAGGAAGCTAGAAGAGATCCGATCACATGGTCTGGTGCTAAAAGATGCCCATGTTAAAAGGGAGTGATTCAATTCAGTTGGATCAGTTGTAAGTAGCCCCTGTTTGATTTTTTTTTTATATTTTAACTCCAAAAAACCACAAAATTCTGAAGGGGTTGGGGAAGAAAAAGAGAGTAAGCTGATGCAAATAACTACATTTTAGAATATAGTATAGATTACACAATATTTACATTGTTTGGCATATTGTTATGTCCATATAGAGGATCCTTTATATATTTTTGCTATTTCTTAATCAGCTATTTAAACCCTAGCAAGAACGTGCTAGCATTTATATCATTTAATTAGGGCTTCTTTTTAGTATCTTACTAGAAGAGACCCATGCGATGCATGGACTGATGTTAAAAAGATGCCCATGTTACATACTGTTTCTTAACTGAATTGGTTGTGAATGAGTTTGATTAGTGGTGGGTGAGCTTAAATAGCCCCATATTTAATTTCTTATTTGTAAAATTTCAAAACAAAAACACAAAATTCTAAAGGGTATATATATAGACTCCGGATCTCCTGCCCACAAGAACTCTGCCCATGTCTACCCACAACACACTACCCCCATGGGAACATCTCCCCATGCATAATACTATGTAGGAGGATGGGATGTTCTCCATGTGTGGCTGCGATGTTATATGTGTAGACGTGGGCAGGAGATCCCGACTCATATATATATATATATATATATATATATTACATATATATATATAGAGAGAGAGAGAGAGAATATCAATATGCAACTATCTCAACTTGAGATCAGAAAATGATAAATTAATTATTCATGTATTCAGGATGGGATTTCCTTGGCATCCAGTTCTCCTTTCCTAATCCAATCACTTCTTATAAGATAGGAATTCCCTGGGCTTTCTATATAAATTTATCAACTTGCATCTAGCTTTCTTCTGAGTTCTGACTTCTTTTACAATAAAATATTACAGGTGAATGCAAACATATCAGAACTGAAGGCATCCACTTTTCCAAATATTGCTTATATCTGCAACCCTTTCTCGGCACCACCAGATTACAATTACCAACCAGAAAATTGTCCTCTCAACACAATCAAAATAGGAGACATTCCCCAGGTACTCATAAATGTCAAAAAATAAAGATAAGACACCAAGCCTGTTTTTGGTATATATGATAGAACTTCAGTGAGAAAAAAAAAAAAAAAAAACAGAAAGTTGAGGGAAAGTTCTTAATTGTTTTTGTGAAATTGATCCTTGAGAACTTACCCTCAACTTTCTTTTTCTCTCTTATTTTCTAACCGATCAAACACAGGATAATAGGGTGGATATAACGGTCTGTGTTGCATGATAATCAGCATTTTGGCACACAAATAATGTTGATCCCCACTGTCTTATGGATATCCTTCCAAAAGGATCTCCTAGGACTAAATAGGCTCAATGCAACACTACCAAATAGCTGATCAATGATATTTACATTTTACAGGGTAAAGTGGAAATTTTGTTGCAAGCAGTCAAGGCCATGTTTGGCTTGCTGCTTTGGGCCTCACTCTTTTAATTCTTGCTCAGAATGAGCAAGAATGGGTAAGAATGAATAATATTAGAGTTCTTGGTTACAAAATTCTTGCCATGAGTCTCATTCTTTTCAAAATGAAAAATCAGCCCCTAGAATTAAATTTGAGGTAGCCTGCAGCATGAAAAATAATAATGTCCCATCTTGCTCATTTTCATTATTTAAAGAAACTCTATGATGGCGTTCATAAACCACCGACCTAGGTCTACAAAACCACTGCCATAGATGTTTATTAGCAGATTTCGTAGAAACTTACGCCAACAGACCTTGGCTACTTCCAACCATCCGCTAATAAACATCTATGCCAATGGTTTTGGAGACTTGGGCTGGCGGTTTATGACCACCGACACAAAGTATTTTTGAAGAATGAAAATGAACAAGGCACTTCCAGTCTGAAAAGAATTCATTTTTTAGGAAAAAAGTGTTTGGTTCATAGCAATATTTTCTCATTTGCTTATTTTTACCCATTCTTGTTCATTTTAGAATTTCATCTTGGGTAAGAATGAGAGTTGAGCCAAATATGGCCTAATAATATTCCAAAGAAGATGAAGAATCAAGTGATATGGATTGATGTGCACATGAGCTCTCAACAAACAAAAAACCTTTCTACTAATTTTCCTTTACTCTTATGTGCTGTCTTTTTGCAGGTTTTGAAGGCATTCACTTGTTCCGGGAATACTGGAACCTGTACAGGAGAGCTCATTTCAGATGCTGATTTTAAAACAGTGGAGGCATACACAAGCTCGATTCAGAATCTACTGAATTCCTTTCCTGGTATGGAAAGCCTGGTAGACTGCCAGTTAGTAAAAGATGCTTTCAGTGAGATCCTTTCCAGACACTGCCATCCAATGAAGAAATATGTCAGGATGGTGTGGGCATCAATGGTTGTCCTCTCAACAATCATGGTGGCATTGGTTCTGACATGGATGACAAAACTTCATCATGACCAGAAACGCCATTTTAATGAAGGGTCGTCTGTGAAACCTCATTCAGCCAGAGCCAGTATGATGGATTTTGATGCAACTGAGGTGGATGCTTATAATGAACTGGAACCGAAATCAATGCCATAACCAACACTATATATAGTTGCTCAGATATTGTCTAAACACCCAATGTACCACTGAGTTGAAGAGACAGAGGAGGAAGATCCAAGAGATAAGCTTGCAAACTGTAAAGATGAGAAAGAAAATAGAAACAGATGACTAACTGAAATTCAGAAGATGTTGAGAAATATTGCAGGAGGTCATGATTTCTTAGTGAGTGATGGACACTTCCTCCTAAGAAGAGTCCATCTTGGCAAGTTCTTTTGCACTAGAAATGATGAAGTGAATTCTTTCATTGATATAAAAAGATTATTTCTTTCTTGTACAAATTAAGGCAAAACTAGGCTGAAAATTTAATCCTTATTTTGGAGTGCACAATATTTCTCAAGCACATAATAAAGTATGATTGGGTACCTATCAATCTTTGTAATGAATAGAAACTTCTGCATTTTTATGAGATACTTGCTATAGCTCATGGAAACCTCAATAACCTTTCTTTTCGCCAATGGGAGGAGGTGCTCAACATTCTGGTATTAGAGCATCTCAGACCGTGGGAAGGAAGAATGCAGAAGGGTAAGTAACATTGAAAAGAATCAAGAGGATATCAGCGCGTGCTTAGCTGAAATCTTGGATTGCTTAGGCGTTGTTTGGGAGTGCTTATTTGAACAATAAAAGTGCTTATTGAGCAAGTGCTTTTATCCATTAAACACTCATGAGTGTTTGGTGAAAAAGCACTTGTTTCAGACGGGTGGTACAGGTATTTTAAAAATTATGTGGTAGACCAAGACTGGCCAGAAAGGAAACAAGCATTTAAAAACAAGCCCAAAATTTGGGCTTCTCGAATAGTAAATGATTATTCAATAATAAATACTTATTAGGGCTTATTTCCGAAACACAAATATGTGCTATTTTTGGTTTGTGGGAAGATTTTGGTGGGATGGGAAGGAGGGATGGGATGTGGACCAAGATTTGGGATCTATAATCCCACCTTTTCCCCATCCCATCTTATGACATCCCACAAACCAAACATGGGAAAGGAAGAATATTCTGGAATATTCCATATTATCCCTTCCCATGATCTCACAAACCAAAAGGAGACTAAAATTATATTAATGAGAAAAAACAGATGTGTTCTTATTTCCCAAATACAAATATGTGCTCTTTGGTGTGGTCCCTGTCCAAAAGTGTTTATTCAAATAATCACTTATTTTTAAACACTCCCATTAGTCAAGGAGAACACCTAACGATGGTCCAGCAAAGGTAACCACAAGCCAGACCAAGAGAGCTTAGGAATCCACATAGAACACAGGTTCTTGGATCAGTTTCTACTAGTTTCTTAAGATTGATCTTCCGCAGTTTGGCAGAAATAATCTGAACAACCACATCCTTATTTGACAATACCTCGATGACTTGATCTCTTGGAGGTTATCAATCTATCTATATATATAAAGCAAGGTTGTCCACGTAACCATGCCTCTACTTGCTCCAAACTCCCCTTCTTAATTTTTTGTATTTTTTTTTATTTTTAATTTTTTAAATTACAAGCAATTACCCATTAAACCAATAAGGAAACAATATAGGTTAAATTATCTCTAATAATCAAAAGATAAAGAAAGAGGGATTTGCTTTTCTAATGTAAGCCAAGTGGCACCACTATCCCCCACTTTCTCCTAAATTCTCTCTAATTCCTATTTGTCACCTAAATTATCTCTAACTTAGTAAAGAGTTTCTCTCCTAAATGATCTCTAATTCCTATTCTAGTATTTCCAAATGGTTTTGGTTCAGCAACTTTCCAACCCGACCAAGTTAAGTCAGTTTCATTTGGCCATTTGTAAATCGACCAAAACTATATTGACCCAACCATAGATATATATTAATATTTTATATTTTAAATATAATTTTTTTAGTATAGAAAAGTTGTAAATTCTCATATTTCTTAATATAAAATATTTTTATCATAAAATTAATTCTTTTTTTAATTTATTTTTTAATAATACCACTATAATTATTAAATTTAAATTCAACTTTTAAGCTTAAATCTTCTGAACAATCCAAAAAAATACACCCAAACCGTTATAACCCGAGTTGACGGGTTTTAACTAATAGCCAGTCAATTTTAGGTGACAAACTCCCGACTTGATCAAGTCAATTTGGTAGGCAAAACAACCTACAACCCAACTAAACCAATCCTCGAACAATCCTAATTTTAGAAAAATTAATAGTTTAATCTCTAATAATTACTGAAAATTTATAAAAAATACACAATTATTGAAAATAAATTTATAATGAAAATACAATAAATACTAAAAATATATTAAATTAGACAATAAATAGTGTAATCTCAAATAAATAGTTTAATCTCTAATAAATATTAATCAATAAATTATAAAAAACATATAATTACTAAAAATAAATTTATAAAAAAATACAATAAATTAAATTATAAAAGTTAAATATTAGTTTTTAATCTCTAATAATTATTGATAATTTTCTATTAAACAAAAAAAAAACAAAAACAGATTTATAAATAATTATTCAAAATGTAATAAATATTTATTACTTTTTTAAAGTTATTTTCTATAATTATTAATTGATATATGTGAAATTGGTTATTTACAATATTATTTAGCTATTTAAATAATATTGTTACTTAAATTTTTAAAATATTAATTATTTAATGAATTTAATAATCTATAAAATCATATTTAGTACTATTAGTACATAGTTCATTATTAATTTTGTAAAATATTAAATTATTATTAGTGTGAAGATTATGAAATCTACTATAGTTATTTTTCTACTTTTAAGAAAATTTTTAAATTTATTACATGATTTTGTAATTTTAACTATTTAAAATTTAGTCATGTTAAATATTTCGTAATTTAAATATTTAAATAATATGTAAAATATTTAAAAATTTTCATTATTTGAGTTCTATTTATTTTAAAGTTATTACCTAATATTAAATATTTTGTTATATAATTATTTTTGTATTTTTAATGTTTTTTATTTAAGATATTTACTTATTGAAATATTTAAATAATGTTTTATTTTTTAATGTTAATTTTTTATTATTCGAATAACTTTTAAATTGAATAAGTCATAAAATTATAATTTATATTGTTACTACATAATTTCATGATAAATTTTTTAAAAAATATAGAATTATTAATAATATGAATATTGTTATTTCTATTATAATTAATTATTTTTGTCTTAAATAAACATTTTAAAGTGAGTATATAGTTTCGTTATAATATTTAAATAATTCTAAAATTTTTTAATTGACACTTTCTTTAGATAGTTGTAGATAAAATGTGGCGGAGAGGATAAATAAGAATTAGAGATATTTAGGAGATAATCTATCTACTAAATTAGAGATATTTTAAAAGATAAATAGGAGTTAGAGATAATTTAGGAGATAAATAGGAATTAGAGATAATTTAGGAGAAAGTGGGGGGAGGTGCCACTTAGCTAAACATTAGATGACAGTGGAAAGGGTCATTTACTAAAATACTCCTTATAGTTTCATGGATTTACAAAAGTGTACCCTTTAGTTAGCATTTTACTAAAACACCACTTATAATTTGCAATGGATTTAATTATGGATTTAATCAATCTTCCATTAGATGACAGTGGAAAATGATAGTGTTGACCCTAATGTTCATTTAAATAAATTTAATCAAAAGAAAATAAAAAATACCATTTTTGCCCTTAATAAGACACGTGCAACCACTCTATTGGCTATATTTGGTCAATTTTGTTTTCTGTACAAAAAAAGTATTAAGGGTATTTTTAGAATAAAAAATCATGGGCCTAAATAAATAAGTTACAAAATATAAGGGATGTTCTAGTAAATGACCCTAATAGAAACACATAAGAGTATATAATTGTTTTATATTTTCAATTTCTTAAATAATTAATAATTATTCATAATTTATATACTATTTCTAATAAATTTTTTATAATACAAAAATAACAATAATTAATTCAGTTAGGTTTATTTAACAAATTGATGAAATCGACCAACCTAATCAACTCACCCCGAGTTGGTCGGTTTTCTAGTATTTAGGACGGCTTTGGTTCAAAATTTCCCAATTCGACCAAGTTGAATCAGTTTCACTTTGGCCATTTGTAAATCGACCAAAACCGAACGACCTAACCATGGATATATATTAATATTTTATATTTTAAATATAATTTTTAATATGGAAAAGGAAATTTCACATATTTCTTAGTGTAAAATGTTTTATATCATAAATCTAAATTTTAAATTTATTTTTTAATAATTGCATTGTAAATTTTAAAATTAAATTTTATTTATAAGTTTAAATATTTTGTACCGACTACCAAAAAATCGACCCAAACTGATACAACTTGAGTGGGTTGGTTTTCACAAAAGGTTAGTCAGTTTCAGCTGACTAACTCCCCAACCTAACCAGGTCAATTTAGTTAGCCAAATAACCTACAAACCGAACCGAACCAACTCATGATCACTCATAATTTTGGCTAAATTAATAGTCTCATCTTTGATAAATAACAATAGTTTGATCTCCAATAATTATTGAAAATTTATAACAAAAATTCACAATTATTGAAAATATATTGATAATGAAAAAAATACAATAAGTACTAAAAATATATTAACTTAGTCAATAAATAGTAAATCTCAAATAATAGTTTAATCTCTAATAAATATTAACCAATAAGTTATAACAAAAATACAATAAATACAATAAGTGCAATAAATTAAATTTAAAAATTTCAATAATAGTAGTTTAATCTCCAATAATTATTGAAATTTTCTGTTAAATAACAACACAAAATAAATTTATACATAATCATTGAAAATACATTTATCACAAAAGACAATAAATAATTACTGAAATACAATAAATATAATTTTAGTATATATAATTATATAATAAATACAAATTAAGAGTACAAAATTATTATTGATAAATATCAATTTTTTGAAAGTTATTTTCTCGAATTCTTACTTGATATAAGTGAAAGTAGTTATTTACAATATTATGTAAAAATATTGAATTATTATTAATTTCAATATCATGTTATAATTATTTGACTACTTTTCATATTTTTTAAATATATTACATAATTTCTTTATTTTAACTATTTAAAATCTAGTTATGTTAAATATTTTGTTATTTAAAATATTTAGTTATTTAAATACTTAAATAATATGTAAAATATTTATATTTTAAAATATTAATTATTTATTGGATTTAATTATCCATAAAATCATAATTTATAATATTATTACATAATTTCATTATTAATTTCGTAATATATTAAATTATTATTAATTTAAATATTATATTGTAATTATTTTTCAACTTTGAAGAATTTGTTTAAATTTATTACATAATTTCATTATTTTAACTATTTAAAATCTAGTTATCATAAATATTTAGTTATTTAAATATTTAAATATTCTATAAAATATTTAAAATTTTTGTTATTGGAATTGCATTTATTTAAAGCTATTACATATTATTAAATATTTGAAAACATTTAAATTGATAATCTGGAAAACATAATTTAAATTGTTAGTACATAATTTCGTGATATATTTTTTAAAAATATAAAATTATTTTTTGTGTTTTTAATAAACATTTTAAAGTTTAAATATCATTTTTAGAATGTTTAATAAATTCTTAAATTTTGTAATCCAAATTTTCTTGTGAGAATGATAGTTCAACCCAGGGTCAGAATTTGTTGGCCCAAAGTACTGTTGGGGTAGGTGTCAGCTCAGAATTGATGCCAATTCACGGGCGTGCATTGGTTCATAGACTGTGGGTTGTTGACCTTTTGAATGTTTATTGCTCTGCATTAGAAATCACAAATCTACATTGGGTTTGTCTGTGCTTTTCTTAACTTTCTTTAGATGGACATAGATAAAAAGTAGGGGAGAGGATAAATAGAAATTAGAGATAATTTAGGAGAGAAAATATCTACTAAATTAGAGATAATTTTAGAGATAAATAGGAATTAGAGATAATTTAGAAGATAAATAGGAATTGGAGATAATTTTGTAGAAGGTGGGGGATAGTGGGGGAGGTAGTTTAAGAGAAATTTTAGAAGAAGATATTATTTAGGTTATTGGGAAAGTGCATCTCATTGGTTGTTCAAAAATGACATGGAATTAAAAATAAATAAAAATGAGAAAAAATGAGAAAATTTCTAGACTTCCTTGTTTATATAATAGACTTAATAATATTCATATTATTAATTATTTTATATTTTTGCAATATTCATCACAAAATTAATAACAATATAATTATAATTTTACAGATTATTAAATCCAATAAATATTTAATATTTTAAAATTAAAATAATGATATTATTTAAATAACTAGTCATCAACTTCAACACCTACTGTGGATGGTTCTCTCTCCCATCATCCCATGTCCCTCTCGGATAATATTACATGCACCCAGTTGGATCTTACCACTCTCATCGCACAGCTGATTCTAACAGTACGGGTAAGTCTAAATATGCTAATAACCCCTGTTAGATCTATGGGGTTGCAATCACTCGGCCATCATCGTTACAACTTACAAGCAGCAGTTCAAATCAAGAGAGGTACGTACAAATATAGTCCCAAGACTTTCCTTTGTTATTATTATTATTACCACTCTCTTCACCCTTCAGCACTATGATGTAGCCTTATGTGTGTGCAAGGTTCAAAGTATCGACACGTATCGGCCCTGTATTGGCTGATATGTATCATTTCAGGACTCGTCCGATACGCCCCTACAGTGGGTGTATCGAGGGTCTGACCAGTTCAGGGGGTGGAAGAGCCCTAAACGGCCCCCTGAACCGGTTGCCAAAAAAAAAAAAGGCATCAAAAGCTGTATCGATATTCTGAACATTGGGTGTGTGTGCATTAATTGGTTAAAAATGCTCAACCCAGTAATATGGGTACTTTATTGCTCTGTCCCTCACGTACCAGGAATGCTAGAGTTTGAATATGCTGACCAAACTACTTGTAAAATACAACCGATATTTCCAATTTGCAGCTGGGTGAACGTGGCCAGCAATGTGTTGTGGTTAGTAGATCTAGAATACTGACATCCTATTTGTATTTCAGATTTGGCCCTTGCAAGACCGTCGTCAGTCCCTTGCATTACGAATATCTTCACATGAATAAAACACCAATGCATGCTGCAAAAGGCTGTGAGGACAGTTTTGTGAGTACCAAATCCGAATTCCTGATACAGACCCATATATATTAGTTTTTTAGGTTATGGATATGTGCATCTGACCCCGTATAATTGGGATAAGACATGGATGATGATAATGATGATGATGAGGTGGTTATGGATATGTGACACAGGTGGATTTGCCAAAACACAAATCCATTCCATTCATATCAATGGTATCCACAAATGTGCCCCGAATTGGGCTCTATCATGTTTTGTTTTTGTATCAGGGAATGGGCAATATACTCCTTTTGTTAGTACACTTCAATTTGATCCCTTGTTGAAGTCCATTGATTACTATATATATTTGATGTTTTTCTTTTAATCTTTTAACTTTAATCCGTGTAAGACGCTTTTGAATTCAAATAACACCCTTGTTTAATGCTAACTCCCCATTTTAAACGAATTCAAATTCAAATTTTTAACGTATTTGATGCTTATTTCCATATCCTAACTCTTTTTTCGACCTATAAAAAGAATTCAGCTTGTGCTTGTGAAAATCAAACCCAAGTAGCCTGTATAAATTGTAAAAAAATCTTGCCACAATCCTATCCATGAAACTTGGGCGGGCCAAACGAAAACCTGGACCAACCCAGCCCACAATTTTACATGAGTTGTACTTGGATTTTTGATCCTCATGCTGGGTCTGGGCCTAAAAGTTTAGGTTTAATTATTTTTTTGGACTAAGCCCGAGCCTAACCCTTAGGTAGCCCAAGCCTGGCCTGACCCTATTCTAACCCAAGTCCAGCCCAACTATATACAGATACATATATAGACATATTTGCATATAAGTCATACAAACATATATATATATATATATATATATATATAAACACATTTTAGTGTAGACTGATTAACGCGATCTCAGACATAACACAGGCCTTAAGGTTGCTCTTGGGTTGAGGCTGCCCGACGTGCACCTCTGCACAAGCCCCTTAGGACAATGGATTGGATTTCCAGTTCAATAACAACCCAAGAGGCTCGATCCAAATCCAATCCCATCCAAACCCAAATTATGGCAGACCAATCCAATCCATTTACTCCCTAATTCAATCCCACGAGTACAAATTAATGTATGTCCATATTAATATATTTTCTGTACATAATGTTTGGTTTTCTTCTCTTTTAGGGCTTACTTTAATAATAAAAAGATAATGTAAATGAATTTTGAATAAATGATAACAATCTTCACTAATGTTCTCTATGAAACTAAAACCAAATCCCCAATGGTTGATTTCTTAACAACCATGCTGTTGTATGTATGGAACAACACTGATTTAGTAAGATAATTCAAACTAAAAAATGCATGTATTTATGGGTTTTTACAAATTGAACATTGGTTGTGATGGTTGAGTATGGGTTAAGTAACGATTTGCACCAATTAAGTACTCAGTTGAGTATGGTTTTCGATGGTTGATTCCGATAAGCATAATGGAATATCCAGATCCGATCCAAATCGGATCCATTGGTAGCCCCACCTTGTAAGAAAGCAAAAAAGGAACTCATGAAGAAGATAGTTAAATAATTAATTGTTCAATTAGGCATCCATCCACTACACAAACCAATCCATATATCCAACTGACCCACAAAAGAATTTCTAGAGAGGATCTTTACTTTTCTACGGCCATACAAATTATTTCTCTACACTGGAAAAGGGGACTTGGATCAACGCAACCCACGTGATTATTCCTGTATTTAAACCAGTGAATTCCACCAAGATGGAGGTTGATCTCAATCTCAACTTAAGGCAACAGGCTGAATGTCTTCGTAGGCCCAATCAGTATTGAGAATTTGGAGTTATGATTGCTGCATAAGATGATTTGTCCGGGGAAGGATGGAGTTGGCAAGCTCTTCATTAATCTTTACTGGAAGTGGTGGCATCTGCTTCATTATACTGGGCATGTCGTTCAAGCTGCAACGTGCATGTATTAGCACATATGGTACAGAAGAGTAATGTTAAGCAATAGAAGTCTGTATTTGTGTCATTTGAATTTTGAATCTGGGCCCCACAACTGTCAGTACACTGGACCCCACATACGGTATTCCATATATGTGGTCTGAGATGGGTTTTTAAAGAATACAAGGAAAAAGAATGTTTGCAGAATTCCTCAGAAGAATTTAGCAAAGGTACAAGACCAAGGATGTCGGCAACTGAATTTGCTACTTACTCATTCAAGATGGTTAGGATATTATCTCGAGCTTGGCAGAAGAGATTGATGTTCTCCTGTAACTGCAATGAGGGGAGAAAAAATGAAGATATCAGTTCAGTTCTGTTCTGTTCTCTGACCAGAGCAAGGACACTCCCATCTTTCAACGGAGCAACTTTAACATGGACTGCATCAAGATCATATATCAATACAAAAGACCTCAGGATAAATCTTTCTTTTTCACTTCAGGTAACATTGGTTGAATTTTTTTTCTCAATTACTGATTTAATGGGTACAAGGCTATTTATGCTTTCCTTTTCTTTCTCATTTTTTGATTGGAGAAATTTATAGGATATGATATCTCTTCCATATTTTTACCTTTATTAATAGAAAGTAATTTTGAATTCTTGATTGATTTTTTATGGTAAAAGAAAATTTTTATTGAAGAAAAAGAAAAAAACAGATTACAACTACTTAACAGATGCTAAGATAACACCTCACAAACAAGCTAAATATGACCGTTCCAATTAAACTAAAAGCAAACTAAACAAGAATCCTTTCTTACAAGCATCAGACACCAACCCCCATTAACTCCTAATGATCAACTTCAATCCTCCCCATCAAAAGATTCTTCCTGCCCACCTTCCCTGTTCCATATTTTCCCCCTTCCCCTATTATAAGAAAAAAAAAAGTAGTGAAATAAACATATTTGCTTTTTTTTATTCTTTTTTGGTTATTTCGCTAAGATAAAGAAAGAAAAGATACTTTGCTTTGGAAAAAGAATACTTACAGAATTAAGGAAACTTGAGAGAATAATGGGAAATAATGGAGAAAACTAAAAACAACACAAGCCTATGCCCATATTTTTCCACTGGCAAATTCCAAGTGTGGCAAGCCTTTTTTAAGTGCAACAAATTAGAAATGAATGGCAAAAACTAGAAGGAATAGAATCAGAAATGAGTTCATTTCGAAGGAAAGTCAATTGAAATGATTTGGTCATGTAAATTGACGACAAATGACTGTACCAGTGAGGAGAGAACCAGTGCAAATAGAAAGTTCAAAAAGAACAATAAGAAGACCAAAGTAAACATGGTTCTTGGTAGAGCACAATGGTTGGATAGGATTTATGTAGCCAGCCTCAAATAATTGGGAATAAGTCTGAGTTGAGTCTTTCCTTGGGCCCATATCTCATTCTGGAGTGAGGACTGGAACAAAAAATTAGTAATCCAAATGGGTCATGTATACATATACCTATCCTTGCCCAGAATCAGCAAGAATTTGAAGGGCCATAGAAGTTGACCAAACATGGCCCTATGGCTACCTTTTCTACCTCCCTTTGTCATGATAAGATTATCTTCAACTATACTCCCATAATTTCAACATTAAACATGCATTGACTTCTCCTATCAACCTTTTCTTCAGACACAAGAAAATAACCATGAGGGTGGAGTAATTTTCCCTCAAAAAGATTCTCCATCTGGTATGTGGAGACATGCTGACCCTGCCACATTTTTATCTGCTATTTATAAGTTCTACATATAGTTCATATGTATTCCAACATTCTAAAATATGAAAATGTGTGCAAGATGTAGGTGTCTGCATGAAAGCACAGATATGATTTAAACTTGTTTTATATGTGTGTGTGTGAGAGAGAGAGAGAGTAGGATGAGAACCACATAACAAGGATATTTTATTTTCTGAAATCTGGACATGACAAACACCATGTCACACCCATATCAAACACAATGGTAACTTGTATGTAGTAGTTGATTTACAAGTATCTCTTGTTTTATGCATATATTAATCACAAATTCAAATCATGGTATGACTATAATATTGTAGGCATATTCTTATCAAATTTATTTCAACTAAAACATGCTAGATAAATTTCTTATGACACATGAGGTATGGGTCATGTATTCTTGATAAAATCAATTTTCATTTCAAAACTTCCATGAAAGATACATTGCACTTATTGTTAGGGTAGGGGCATGCCAAATTCTGAATAACTAGATTTTTCCTCAATGGAAACAGCTAGATCTTATTTGACACCTTGGATCGGTAATCCATAACAAGGGAGAGATTGAGGAGGATATCGCCCATGGAACTAGAGCAGGATGGGCAAAATGGAGGAATGCATCCGGACTTTCATGTGGTTGGCAAAAACCACTTAGGCCCTGTTCATTTTTACTTACCTAGGTAAGTACGTTTACCTGGGCAAGTGTTTCCCAAGTGAGGTTCCATCATTCTTGTGCAATACAAGTTACCCAGGTAAAGAGAGAGACAGGAGGGAGAGAGCGTTATCAGCACATGGGTAAGTTGTTTACCTACTTGCAGGAGGGAATAGTTACCCATGTAACTGGTACTCTCTAGTATCTTCGGATACCATTGGACCCAATATAGTGTCAAATGAACGTGGGGGTTGTCGTCAACTTACCAGTTTACCAACTTACCCCCTGCTAAATACTGGAAAACAAACGGAGCCTTCGATTAAAAGGAAAGTTGTATAAAATAGTTGTAAGGCGAGCTATGTTGTAATGTTGTATGAAGTAGAGAATTGAGCAGTCAAGAAACATGTCCAAATATGCATGTGGCAGAAATGCATATGCTGAGATGGATGAGTGGAAAAACCAGATAAGGTAGGATCAGAAATGAAAGCATTCAAAAGAAATATAAATAGCTCCAATAGATGATAAAATGAGAGAAAGTAGGAGGGATAGGAGTAAACCATCAACAGCATTCATAAGAAGAAGTGATCTGTCGTAAATTAAATGAACTAGGAGGGATAGGGGTAAACCATTAAGGACATGGACCAAAACAGTAAGAAATTATTTAAGCCCCCATAATTTAACAATATGGCATTAAACAGAACAGAATGGAGAAAGAGGATTCATGTAACCAACCACATATACATGGGATGAGGCTTGGATGATGATGATTGATGATGATAATCCTTGATGGCCACCAAGCATCTGAACCTATTTGCCCAACTAATTATTAGGTTTTCATGACCACAAGAAAAATGTGAAACTAAGTCAAGAGTCAGTCAAATAAATTGGATGGCTAGGATCACCTACCTGATATAACAGGTTCACTTAGATAAAATGCTCAATTAATTGGATTTCCTCATGTTTTATACATTATAGTACTCTGGTTGAACTATTTATCCATGATATAACTTTTAACAATTTTCATATTTCATTAATCAAATATTTTCATTGTTATCATTTTTGTTTTGAACAATGTTAATATCCAGACCTGTTGAAAATCTCCAGGCAATTGCTCTTTTATTACCATTTTTTACATTTTGCTTTTGGCCAATGACAGTATACAATTTCAAATCCAACTACTTGAACACCAACACAACTAATTCCCAATTATCCATTGTGCCCATATTGTAACATCGTACAGTTGAAAATAAATTTTTGGAACAAGGAAATTATAAAAGGATACAAAACTGGAATCCAAATTATAGGAGCAAAAAGATAACTATACAAAAATTCTATTCCATTTTACAGGTTGCTTAACTTGATTGATAAAAAGGAAAATTGATGAATAGAAAACAGTAGAAATTGTGTTGAAGTGAAGAAGAGGAAAAGAGAGAAATCAGAGAAGAAAGAATGGAGAAGCAGTAAAAAGTTCTATCTGCTGCCCCTTCACATCTATTCATCTTAAGTATAATGTGATATCCAATTATATTTATACCCCTGCCCGCTCAATACTCAATAAATAAATAAATAAAACAGGTAATAAACAAACAGCAATAGAAGTAATTAGCAACTATAATGGAAGTAAATATACATCTATAAAATATAAAACCAATCCCTCAACACTCTCCCTCGAGTTGGGAATATATATTGGTCATTCCCAACTTATTTAAGTCATTTTTCAGATTGTTTTTTTTTTTTTTTGATATGCAGATACGCTCTGAAGGGATATACACAATGGGAGTAGCTCATCCCCCAACCCAGGTGTAGGTAGGATTCGATCCCAAGTCTCCACTACGACCAACAGGAGACCTTACCAACCCACTGGTGGGCACCTTACACGTCATTTTTCAGATTGTTTCTAACAATTCCTTTAGAAAATATCTGCCAGCTGCATGCAAGATGTAACATATGGCAAATAAGTTTCACCTAAAGCCACCCTTTCTCAAGTGAAGTACTGATCAACCTCAATATGCTTAGTCATATCATGCTGAAGACTATGAGCTATATTAATCTCAGCTTGATTATCACAATATAACATTAAGGCTTGTTCCACCTAAATCCCTGGCTCCCCAAGCAAAGATCTGATCCATAACTCCAACACCCTATGAGCCATAGAACAGTACTTAGCATCAGTACTAGAACAAGCAAACACCAACTACTTACTACTCTTCCAAAAGACTAGATTACCACCAACAAGAGTACAAAATGTATATGTAGAGTGCCTATCATCCAATGAACCTGCCCAATTTATATCTGTAAAAGCTTCTACTCTCATGTGACATAATTAGCGAACAACAGAGCCCTACCTTGTTGCTTCTTGAGATAAGCAAGAATCCTGTCTGAGAACTCTTTGACACATGCATGTATTGGCTCACAACTAGGGGTGACCACGAGCCGAGCCTTTCACGAGCTATTCTAGCTCGGCTCATGAAAAGCTCGACTTGGCTCGGTTTAAACCAAGCTTCAAGCTAAATTCGAGCATGATATATAAGCTCGTTTGCTAATCGAGCCGAGCTCAAGCCAAGTGAAGCTCGACTTGTAAGGCTCGTGAGCCTAGTATTAAATAAATAATTTTTATTATATACATACATACATATATATAATAAATAATTTTATTATATATAATAATATTTTTATTAATATAATATTTTTATTTTTTATGTATAATAGTAAATAATTTTTATAATTCTTATTTTCTTGTATGTAAAATAAAAAAAATTATAATTATTTTGTATATATAATATTAAATCCCTTTTCTAATTCTTAATCTTTTGTTTGAAAAATAAAAAAAAATTAATTTTATACCTATAATTTTTATTTTTCAAAAAAACTTGGCTTATAGTTGAGCTTCAACTGAGCCAAGCTCGAACTTGCGAGCTATGAACCGAGCCAAGCTCGAGCTCAAGTCTTTAGCTCAAATCGAGCCCGAGCCTGATACTATTCATGCGAACCAAGCTCAAATAGCCAAGTATTTGGCTTCGCTCGACTCAAATCCACCCCTACTCACAACACTTACTGCATATGAAATATCAAGCCTGGTCATGCATAGGTAGAGAAATCAACCCACAAGTCTCTAACAGCTCACAATAGTGATGTAGGAGTTGGAGAGTCAAAATTGGAATTTTATGTATTTCTATATTTTTGGACAGTAGGGGTATTGTTGTCATTTTACATTTTTGTAGGGCCCAATTATAGGGCTTAACTGGGCTAGATATAGTTTGTTTATGTTTAAAATTTCAGAGTCATTGCATAAGTAGTATTAGAGTTATTGAGTCTTCTTCGAATTGAAATAGGATATGACAGATTAGTTTGAGTCTATTGGTTTGACTCCTAGGATCATTATGAGTCTTAACAATTTGACTCCTAGGATAATCATGAGTTTAGAGTCTATAAATATGTATGGACGTTCTAGGATTATTCAATTTATTGAGTTTTCTTCAACTCCTAGGATTATTATGCTAACTAGGTGTGCATGAGGCACATGAGGCATGTCTCAAAGGTGCCAGTGCCCCTGGCATATGCCTCAAGGTGTTCTGGGGGTGCCTCACTTGGAGGAACACCTCCAAGCATACGCCTCCCACGCCTTTTAAACACTGGTTAGAATCAACCTTCTTGTGCCTTTGGTACAGTTGTAAATACCCCTGGTAACTTACAGTAGTAGAATTAGAATAAGAAGTAGAAGGAATCATCAAGACATCAAAAACAGGACATGGCAAAGGAATATTAGTAGGAATAAGAGCCCTCTCCTCACCAAAACATTACCCTTGTGTAGTAGTAGGAAAAAATATGAAAACCACAGCCATAGAAACAAATGGGATCAAAATAATAGTACCCCTTCTAATTTTATGCATACCAAAAAAAATACATCTCCTAGTTTTAGGATCAAGCTTAGAATGATCAGGTCCAAGAATATAAACAAAAACCTATGCACCCAAAAACTCTCAAAGGAAAACGAAAGATCTCTCATTAGGATATAATATGTTCAAATGAGTTTTAAATCCCAAAATATAAGAGGGCATGTGATTAATCAAGACATAATAGTAGTAACGGTATCCTTATGCAGTAGGGCTGGAACAAACTATCACAAGACAGAGAGAGAGAGAGAGAGAGAAAGGGTGGAGAAAGAGAAATGAGAGGGAAGCCCCAAGGAAACACTCTAGGGTTTGTAGGAATCACTCCATACAGCAAACTCGAAACAGAATTCTAAAGACATCTTCATTCATTCATTGGCTTCAAAAGGAAGAGAATACATCTATTTATAGAGCGACTTGTGTGCCCGGAATACTGTTTACCATAATTACAAGAACGCCACTCCTTGTCTTGTGCATCAAGAAACACAATAACTTTCTATCTACTAATGCAAAGATACTGAAAATTGAAAGACGAGACCTAAACTAGAGGAACAAGATGTTATATCCCAAGCCCACACAGGACTAGTCAAAATGACGAAAATATCCATACTATCCAAATATACAAAAATACAGAAAATTTCAAAAAGTTCCAAATTTGATTCTTTAGCTCTTGCATTATTCTCCTCTGGTTCAAAAAAAAAAACTCGTCCTCGGGTTTTGAAGAACTTGAGGATGAAAAGTTGATGTACCTCAATGACATAAGGAGTAGTAATTCCCATAGCTACTTCAACACACTTGGACTGCAGAGTAGATGTCACACACAGCTATAAATGGATCTTGAAACCAATGTATGCCTAAATATACTGCCTTCCATAACCATCATTGTTAAATCATCAATAACATTAGCTTCTTGAACACTTACATCATCCATCAGCTTATCTTGTGGTGAATCTTCCCCTTGCTTATCACTATGAACTTTCACATCCAAAATCTCAACTGCAACTTTTCCTTCAACCTTTAGTAGAGAAATCTCCATCTCTATGGCTTCAGCTACCCTTGGTTCTTCAGCAAGCTCTTTAACTTCTGCCACCATTGATGTCGGTGAAACTTTTACTATGCCAGCTTGTAATTCTTGAATTGGTTCCAGTTGAACTTGTAAGGCAAATGAAAGCTAAATTACTGTAGCCGAAGTAGCAGAAAAGAGAAGAAGAAGAAGAGATGCTGGAATGTCGAACTGCTCTGCTCAATCAACAGTACTATTATTTATATTATGGTGTAGTACAATGATACAGGAAGTTACTAGAATGCCCCTGATTAGTGATGGGACACCCAAACAACTTAAAACATTAAACAGGATTAGGCCCATTAACAAAGGCCCAGTACAGGACAACTTAAACTTAAGTATAGGCTAATAAGAACTCTTATCAACCGAATACTCATACATACAAAGACTTCAATCCAACAGCAAAGTTGCTAACATCTATTACAACCAACACATTTGCATCTTGCACCTGATTTCTCCAACTTGCTCCACTTCTATCTCTTCTTGATCATTAACCCCAAGCTGACCATGGGTGTTAGAGGTTTCTTCTTCAACAATTCCAACCTTTTCTTGGCCTGCACCCTTTTGATCTTCAATGTTTACAACTTCTATAGGTTGAAATTCTTCATTCACAACTTCAGCTCTAGGATGGGCATCAACATGCAAGAAATCAGCTTCTTTATCTTCAACTTTGTATTTTCTTCTCATTGGCTTCAAATTCTTTGTTGTAACCACCTCCTTCTTCTCCATCTCAAGAGCCAATTCAAAGGCATGGTCTAAGTCATATATTTGAATTGTAGACAATTCATTCTTGATATCATTCCTTAGTCCATTCATGAAACAAACTAATTTGTGGCTTTGACTTTCTATAGTGT